TTCAATATTACACTCAGTAACACCATTAGAATCACAACATAGTATTCATCAATGAGACTCTGATTAATAAAACTGTTGCTGATAAATTTGTTTTTGAAACTATCTTTTAATTCATTCACGGAATAAAATTCCGATTCCTTTTCTTGAGATTTAAAAACTTTTTCAGCTTCAGCAAAATTTCCCCCAAGGATTTTCTCACATGAATGAGGTATTTGAGCAGAAATAACATAATTAGCATTTTTGTGAGATTTAGCCCAAAGTTTTAAAACAGTTTGTTCTTTGCTCAAGAGGTCTGTAAGTTTATCAATTTCAGCAGATAGCGAGGAATTTGATAAACTAGTAACTCTTAGATTTTCCTGAGTAGTGTCAATAATTTTATTTTTCAAGGATAGTTCAGTTTTAAGAAGATCAATTTGATTATGCATATCTCTTATGATTTGATTCTTCTTACAATTAAGAACACCAAAATACTCAAACGTTTTGATTTTTTCATTCATTAAATAGGAAACAAAATTTTGAACCTGATACATTGAAGGAGAATCAGTGTTGTGCTTCCTGGAGTTTTCAATTGCATCAGACATATCAGCATCAAACGAACTATTGCTGAATTTACATTCATCAGTATCTTCTATCTTAGCCATCAGACATTTAACTTCATCATCTGATGACTCCTCATCAGTCTTCCATTTTTCTTCTTCAGCAACAAGAACTTTATGTTTCAAATTCTCTACTTTCAGTTTGTCAACCAACTTGTTGTACTTCTGCTTCCAGTATTCATCCGAGCTTTGGGTTCTTTGCTTGCATTCTTTTGCAAAATGATCAGTGCTACCACAGTTAAAGCACTGAGCTTTCCCTTTCCTTTCAATAGCATGTTTCTTGTCAGAATCTCATCTTTTTCAAGATTTCCCACTCATCTTCTTCTGAAACTTTGAGAAATTTCGGCCTGATTTCTCAAAAGTCTTCACAATTAAAGTCGCACTAGCAACAACCTTTTCCAGATCATCAGTCTCACTTTTAGAAGAATCAGTGTCTGAATGGTTTTCAGTGTCTGACTCTGACACTTGCTTTTTGTTTGAAAATAATGTCACTGATGACTCACATTGAGCATCATTCATCAGCTCCTTTCTCTGAAGCTTGGATTCCTCGTAGTATAGAAGGTTTCCATAGAGACTTTGTAAATCCATTGTGCTAATCTTCTCACTATTTTTCAGCACATCAACATGATTCTCCCAACCTGCACCCAGAGAATCCAAAAACTTCTGCACTAGCACAGTTCGATGCTTCAACTGATCTAGTCTCCGCAGATCATTAACAAGAGTATTAAACCTGTTAAAGGTTTGAGTCAGGGTTTCACCTTTCTTTGCAAAGAAATGTTCATACCTTATGTTTAGATCATTTAGTTGAGTAGCCTTGACTTCCTCAGTGCCTTCAAAAGATACATTCAGTGTGTCCATCATTTCTTTTGCTGAGATGCAGTTCTGAATCAGCCCAAAGATATTGTATGGCAAAGCATAGCTGATTGCAGCCCGAGCATGAACATAGAGACCATTCTTTCTTTTGTCATCTGTTGTCCAGTTTTCTCTAGGTGTTTTCTTCATGACACCATCATGAACATTGTTTTTCAAGGGCTGATACATACGAACATATGGACCTTTGTCGATGATGTCCATCATGTCTTCATCTACAGATTCTAATGCATAGAGAGCTTTTATTTTCCACATAGAAAAATTGGGGTTATCAAAAGGAGGAATTTTAGCAGAAGGATAACTTGATGAGTCTAAAGAGGAAGATGATGAAGCCATTTGTTTGATAAGAGAACACTGCTTTGATACCAATTGAGAGGACCTTAGATCAAACAATTTATCAAACAATGACTATCAACAAGAACAATGAAGTTTCACAAAGAACTTTCACTACGAATAATAATCTCACAAAGAGATTATCGAATGCACAAAGCGGCTATTAGGGTTTGTGAAAGATGATCTCTCACAAACTTGTACAAAAAGACTATATAGACTTAATATAGGCAATCCCTACAAATCAGGGATATACCAGCTAACTAATAGACGATAACTATGGAAACAAGATAAGTACTAAATCTGTTACAAAATGTTGAATATAAAACTATACACTAAACAACTGGTATGCTGATGCTGATGCTGACGTTGGGTTATGTGCTGACGCTGAGTGACCAGTTTCAAATATCATCATATTATAAGGTTCGACCTTACACAAACAGATCCTATTAACCATATAATGACATATATATTTGTGTAATTAGTGTTTGGACTAGCTATTTATTGTATTGGGACCCCTTTAGGGGCTAGTAAACACTTATTATGAAGTGTTACAACCATATAAGGTTGTATATGAGTGGTATATGACCACACAAGGGAGTGTATGGTCAAAATGCACAACAAATGTATGTGTGTGGTTGCACACATGAGTGTGTGGTTGTAAAGTGGGAGTGTGCAGCCGTGCACAGGAGTGTGTGGCCGTACACTCCTAATTTGTGCCCAAAATATCGATATTTGAGGTGTTCTTAAGTCTTATGAGTAAATGACGGTCAAACTCTCACTTTGGAGAGTTTTTAAGGTGTGTGCGGCCATCATATGAAGGTGTGCGGCTGCACTCCTTCAAAGGATGAAGAACACATGAAGAACACTAAGAGCACTACGAGTTTTAAGCTTAGATTCAGATGTTTTACCAGAAACAAGCTGATTGATGGTGGTGATTCACGTTCTTGAGGCCGTTAGAGTGTTCTTTGGACGAGATTTTTAGAGAGAGAAAGTAGAGAGAGAAATAGATTGCAGCCAAAGAAGGAAAGAATGAATGAAGGGGGTCCTCCCCTATATATAGAGGTGAGTGTGTGGCTGGAAACGGGTATGCGGCCGCACACACCAGTCAGTGGTCGTACACTCAAGTGTGTGGCCGCACACTCCATGTTTTGGAGTGGTTGGCACAATTTTGCTTGATACACATGGTGTTATCCTGTTTCTCGGT